GAAAACAGCTATGCTCTTTTGAAGTTCCTTTGAAATCATTCTGAAGGTTTCTAACTTAGAATATGCCCAATTCTAAGAATTGGAGGCATAATGGAGACTGACCTTTTGTTTTCTTTTTGTTCTTAAAAAAAAGAGTAACAGCTTTGTTGAGATGTCATTGTAACATTCAGTCTTGCCCTGGAAGTGTATAATCTTATCATTTGGTTGTACAATCATCAGGAAAATAAATATTTTATCATCCTCAAAGGAACCCCAAACAATTATACATTTAAAAAATATATATTATTTAAGCCGGGCCTTGTGGTGCATGCATTTAATCCTAGCACTCGGGAGGCAGAGGCAGGTGGATCTCTGTGAGTTCAAGGCCAGCCTGTTCGAGGACCTGGGAAGCACATGGTGGCTACAAACCGTCCTTAATCCAGTTCCAGGGGAATCTGAAGACCTCTGCAGCATTGCACGACATGGGTGCACTCACATGCATGCAGGCGATACACTCATACACATAAAACAAAAATGATAAATACAATTTTTTTTTGTCTTTTCAAGACAGGGTCTCCCTGTAGCTTCAGCTGGCCTGGCATTGCTATATAGACCAGGCTGGCCTTCATCTCACAGAGATCTGCCTGCCTCTGCCTCCTAAGCACTGTAAGTCTAAGTTTTTGTTTATGGTCAAACTTTGTAGACTAGTATCAAGATATTTTGATTCAGGTTTTAATTATATCAGATAAAGAGCATGTGATAACTCTTCCCTGAGAATTATGCTGATGTTGTTAAAGGGAAGAGAGTTAATAAATACTGTGTTGCACCTGATCTTTCATATGAGAGGAAATGGCTGTGTCTCTCTATTGCTCCATCCCCTGTGATTAATACGGTGTCCATCATGTGATGATTGGCAGCTAATGACAGATGACATGTTTTAGTGACTTTATTTTAAATTGAGCAGGTAGCAAGCTATTTCTGCTCAGTGGGTAAGTGCTCTGTATTCTGCTTGAAGTGGGAGAATTAGTTTAGGTTATTGTTCCACAGATGTGTTATCTTTCTGTACATACTCCAGTGAGGCTGCTGTACAACTGTCTCATTGTGGTTCCTTTGTAATAAACATCCAATAAAATAAGCATGACTAGTTTGAAATAGGCATCTCAAGTGACTTTTCCAAGGAGTACCATTAATGTGCCATTGCATCCAATGCAATTGGATGTCCCAAGATAAACTAGCCAAGCCTGTGTATTGGAATTTGAGCTGTAAAACCCAACTGAACTACTGAAGGCAAGTTGTGATTTACTTCCAAGTCATCTTCAGGAAAAGCAGATGCTGGGACAGAGTAGACTCAACATCAACCAGAGACCAGGTGACTTCCCACTAGGCATGGCCTACAGTGTTAACTTCTTTTATAAATACCAGGATCAACAGCTTTTTAAAAAATTAAAACAGTTTATTTTATGTGTATGAGAGTCATGCCTTCCAGAATGTAAATGCACCGTGTGTGTGTGCAGTACACAGGGATGCCAGAAGAGGGCATCAGATCTCCTGGAATTGGAGTTAGACTGTTGTTAGCTACCATGTGGGTGCTGGGAACTGAACTGGGGTCCTTTGGAAGAGCAGCCAGTGGTCTTAACTGTTGAACCATTCCCTCCAGTCCCCAGGACCAATAATTCTTAATTACACCCAGCCAGAGGTCTTGTTTCTAGGGCGGTATTCTGTTTTCAGCACTTCTTTCCTCTCAGCACCCATCTCTCTCCTCTTGAAGTTATACCCATGGGCCACCCAGCTGTTATATACTCAAGCCCTGGACTCCATGAAGATGTTTATTTAGCACGTTCATTTAGTAGGCTCGTTCCCCCCGGGAACTTTTGGAATTTATTACTTTATTACTCTATTTATTCTTTTTAAATGAGGTTCACATACTTCCCACTGCCAGGCTTTATAAAAAAAGAAAGCCAAATCCAAATACACACACATAAAACTAACCAAACGCCCATGCAACCCCTGTGACCTCAAACAAAAAAGTCTTACCCGCTGTTGCCTAAGACCTCGTGTTCTATGAATGAAGGAATGCTTTGGCTGGTTCTGCCTTGGTGGGCCACACAATTTGTGGCTTAACCCAGCTGTGGCTTCTCTTTCCCTTTCCACTGCATTGATTTGGTCTTTCTCCTTAGTTATTTCCAGACGGTAGAAGGAATGAAATTTGAAGGGTAGTTTCCATTGTTTGGAAATAGTTGGTATAGAAACCATGGCCCAGGGACAGTTTGGTAGTGTTTGATTACCGTTATTTCTATTTTTCAGTCATTTCATCAAAAGGTGAATTGTTTTGACATGGAAAGTACAGCTCAATTTAGGTTTATAAATGAGGAAACGAGGTCCACTTTGACAAGTGTGTGCCTTGTTCTTGTTCCATGTATGGCTATTCTAGGTTCTCTATGATTAAGTCCTTAGCAATTAACTCTGTAATTACAGTGTGTACAGTTTCCAAGGCAACATGCATTCTGTTACTTGGGTGGAATCTGGGAAATCAAAAGAACGTGAGAGGCCTCAGTCAGTGATGGTTTGGCCTCCAGATGATGCCATCGAAGAATTGTGTGATGACTTGGTTTTCATGCCGTTTGTCCAAGGACTCAGCTCGATGGCAGAGCAGTGGTGAATGGTAACACACTAGAATCCCGGAAGCAGTATGCAGGTGACTTCTGGAGGCAGCCACGAAGACATTGGTTGATGAGTAGAGCCATTTAGCTTGCATCTACCCCACTTCTGACTTCTTAGATCATGCTTGTTCCGAATGATGAGAATGTTGAGAGAACAAGATGGGCTTGAGAGGCTTTAAAAGTTATGGCATGGTGTATTACATGGCTGGCAGCCCTTCCTTAGTTTAGCGGAATGGTGCTGCTGCCTGCAAGCTCATCTGTTCTTACTTCCTGTCAGGTGCAGCTTGAAACTGACAAGTTTATGGAGTACTTGCCCTGGTAGGAATTTCACCTGGATTATTTTGCCTTTCTGACCTAAATGTACTTTGACTGTTTTTAGTCTACATGGAAAAGTTCCACATTGCACCTTTTTTAGGGATAAGGAAAAAGACAAATTCTACACCATGTGCTGACACAGACTTTGGCCTTTTGGCTTTGATTATGAAGCTGTATAGGACAAAGCTGTATAGGCAATTGTTTTTTGAGACATGGTCTCCCTGTAGCCCCACCTGGCCTAGAACTCCCTGTGTAGCCCAGACTAGCTTTGATCTTATAGACATCTGCCTGCCTCTGCCTCCTGATTGCTGGGATTAATGGCATGTGCTACCATGCCTGGCCAGACAAGTTTCTTAATATCTTGACTTTGTGTGTGTGTGTGCATGTGTGTGTGCGTGTGTGTGTGCATGCGTGTGTGCTGGAGACCCAACCCTGAGTCCTGCACATGCTGGGCAAATGCTCTACCCAGCCATGTAGCCTTGACTTTGGAAGAATGATAGATACCTTGCAGAATCCTGTGAAAACTAAGAAGCTTCTTCTCTGAAAAATTATAACACACACACACACACACACACACACACACACACACACACACCACTCAGAAAAAAATTACATTTGTTTTCAGAGGACTTCACAGAGTTCTCGTAAGTGAAATAATTGCTGAAGACTCTCCCAACCCAACGTAGAATTCCTGCATCTCAAGGACCTGGAGAGTCTTAAGTTGTTTAGAGTGGGTTCCCCTGAGGAATCAAGTATTTGATGAGGGAGATTATGCTGTTCCTAGCATTTTCTGCTAACTACACTGCATTTAAGAGGAGCAGGGGAGGTAGACAAACACTGGAAAAATAAATAAGGAGTAAATGGCATCTAGAATACAGGCTGTTTTCCTTATCATTTTCCACTACTGCAGCTTTCAAAAGGAAGTTAAAGGTATAATTGCAAAATGAAGGAGATGTAGAGGAGTTACTTCAGTAGACATGCATTAGTCTGGTTTTTGTTACCATAATGAAATACCTGTGGCTAGGTCACATTATCAAGAAAGAAGGATCATTAGTGCACAGTTGGAGAGGGTCAAAGGCATACTTCACTCTAGCTAAGCTACAGTCCAGGCCTTGTAGTGATGATAATATTGGGAACATGAGCATGTGCAAAACTGAAGGCTCATATTTCCGGAAAGTCAAGCTTTGGTTTTTTTTTTTTTAATAACAACTGAGTTGAAAGAACTCATCCCAGAAGACCAGCATTCCTTTCTGAGAGCACACTCCCAGTGACCCAAAGACCTCCCACTAGGCCCACCTCTTAAAGATTCCATCACCTCCCACATCACCAAGCTTCCGACCCACGAATCCTTGGGGGCAAACCACATCCCAGCCAGAGCAAAGCGGATAGTTAAGCTGTAACTTAATGTTGTTCTACTTTTAATGCTTGGGAACTCACTTGTGTGTGGAATCTAAAAAGTCTTAAGTCGTTGAAGCTGGGAGTAAAAGATTTTTTTCCAGGATTGGTGGTGAGGAGATGGAGGACTGAGTAAATGCTGATCAAAAGATACATTTCCATTTGACAGGAAGAATAAGTTTAAGAGCCGTGTTGTATAATATGGCGCCTATAGTAGATGACGGTCTGTGTACTTGAAAATTGCTACGGCTTAAGCATTCTCATCACAGTGTAGTGATAAATGTGTGAAGAAATGTGTAGGTTAATTAACTACATTTGCCATTCCATAATATAGCCATATTTCTAAATGTCATGTGGTAAGTATATATACTTTTTATATGTCAGTTAAAATAAATGAGAAGACAAGGTTTTTTTTTTTTGTTTTTTTTTTCTAATTTGAAATCGCCAATAGGTCTGAAGGAGTCTATGTATGAAGTGCGGGAAGAGCGTACGTCTTGATTGCTTCCCAGCTGCTGTGTGACCACCATCTCTGCCCAACCGTCTCCTGCTCGTGGCCCAGTGTTGTAACAAAGTTAGGGGAGAAAATCTGTAGTGTTTATTTAGAAACCGCTGTTCATTCATTATTATTATTTTTTTTTTTCCTCTACATAGGTGTTGACAAATCTCCTAGGACTTTGGAAGGCTGAGTGGACTAACCATGAAGAGCCTGAAAGCGAAGTTCAGGAAGAGTGATGTAAGTCCACTGTGACTCATGGTCTGGCTGCTCTGCCCTGCTCTTCGGGGCTACAGAAACAGCCTGCCCCTGCCCTGATAAGGTTCTGAGTTAATAAACTACAGATTCCCTAAGCTCTAGGCGCCAGCTCAGAGTGACGTCTGTCAGTGAGCATATTTAGGCTCCTTACTTTTGTGTGTACAGCTTTCAAAAACAACCTATAATAAATTCTTCATGACTGTGTCATGTCATGAAAGGAATAGTCAAATTAAATATTTTTAAAGAATCAGTAAAAAACTTCAGTGTTTCCAAAGCTACCAAAATCCTGACTTAGAATGTCACTTTTATTATTTTAATTTACATGTATTATTAATTTTAGTAGGTTTTATTTGTTCTTTTTTAAGAAAGGTCCTTGTAGCCAAGGCTGGCCTTTATCTCAGGCCATCCTCTTGCCTCAGCCTTCTGAGTGTTCACCTACTAACATGGTTAAGTAACCATATTAGGATGGTTGATTTCTGTCTTTGAGAAATTATGACTAGCTGGACGTGGTGGCGCACGCCTTTCATTCCAGCACTTGGGAGGCCTAGGCAGGTGATCTTTGTGAGTTCGAGGCCAGCCTGATCTACAGAGCAAGTTCCAGGACAGCTGGGACTACAGGGAGACCCCGTCTCTAGCCTAGAATAAACAAAAAAAAAAAAAAAAAAAAAAAAAAAAAAAAAAAAAAGAAATTATGACTATCTGTTAAGGCTTTCATTGTAAAATAGTAATAATTCATTTTTCCCTGTACCTCCACTTCTGAATTCCTGGAGAGCCTATCCATAAAAGACTTGGAGGAACTGCTTATAGTGTCAGAATTATGAAAGTCTCCCATCAGAGAAAATTGGGAAAAACAGCACAGCAGAAGAGTTACACAGAGATATTTTCATAAAAGGTGGCCTCCTAAACCCTGCTGGGATCTCAGTCTTGTAAGATGCATTCCAAAGCTTAAAACAACATTGCTGGATGGGAGACATTCATGGAGGAGTATTAGATGGAAGCCCAGATAAGTCACCCTCAAAACAGGCTTGTTCCGTTATTACTTAAAATTAGGTAATTAAAGGTGAGCCTGAGTGTTCTTGCTTTGCCATGAATTTTACTTTGACAGGTTAGCACAGCTGCATTTTTGTAATAAATGAGGCCATGTCTTTTATGGCTGCATGCTACATGCATACCTACCTACTTTGGATGAAGCTTATCTCCTAAGACTGTTGTGACATGTAGCTTATTGCTCTGATAAGACCCAGGACAGACAAGATGCTTTGGGGATGACTATAAAATACTGTCTCATTTAAAGAGCAAGCTAAAAAGAAATCTTAGAAAAAAATTGACTTCACGCTTAAGGTAGACTTCACTCTTAAAACTCAGACTTGGCCCGGGGTCAAGGAGCTAATAACCATTTGCTACAAAGAGCTTCAGTCATGCAACTTTTTGAGCTGCCCCTCCCCAAAGAAGCCTTCACCCTGGTCATCTGCTGGCCAGTGTTACCAAGCCTGCATATTTTCTTTGGTTTCAGTTAAAGAGAAAACTGGGCGTGGTGGCACACGCTTTAGTCCCAGCACTCGGGAGGCAGAGGCAGGTGGATCTCTGTGAGTTCAAGGTCAGCCTGGTCTACATGGCTAGGTCCAGGCCAGCTGGGTCTACAAGGAGACCCTGTCTCAAAAAGACCAAAACTAAATAAATAAATGAAAGAGGAAAAGGCAAGTCATGGGCAGTTGTCCACTTCAGCAGATACGAGTTTATAAATTGTGCGATAAGGGAATTTGGGCTGGAAATGTAGCTTCAGTGGTGGAGTGTTTGTCTAGTTTCCAGGACTGCCAAGAAAAAAAAAGCTTGTTCCAAGGGAATTTGGATTGTCTCCAACTATACACATTGAGAATATTTTAGCAAAATTTCATCATCTGGAGTTCATGGTATGAACAAGGGCAGGAGGATGATAGGCACATACAACTGGTTTAAAATTTTAAAACGGGTGGCAATAGAGCGGGTGCTGTTGGAGTCTAATTTTTAAATAAAAACTGAAATATTTCCATGATTAAAAAAAAAAGTTCACAGTAATAGCACTAGTTAAAGCTTCTGAGATTTGACAGGGAAAAAAAAGGCTTTGGTTTAAAGAAAAAAACCTTGGTTTTGGCAGTGGGTGTTAAGAATGTTCAAGGAGCAGCCCTGGGGAGGAGAGCAAAGGAAATTGGTTAAGGGAGCCAGAACAATTTACATGGCTTCCCAAATTCAAAGTTTTTCCCCAAGCTACATCACTGCATAGCTAAGTGGAGGAAATAAAAACAAAAAAGAAAACCTTCAGGTCCCTGTTTGTTAACCAGCCATATGACAGTTGTGACCATAGCAAGTGACCACCAAGTAGTCTGCTAAGCTCTTGATATGAAATTCAGTCATTCTTGCCACAAAGCTTATGTGGTAGGTTTTATAACTGAGCCCATTTTTCAGATGAAGAAGCTGAAGCCTAGAGAGGTACAGCAATTTCAATAGATCCTTGTAGTTTTAAGTTGGGGAACCAGTTTTTGCACCTAGGTATTGGACGTCCCAAGTTTTCTTCCTCCCTCCCTTCCTCCTTCCTCCCTCCCTTCCTTCTTTTGCCTTCTTTCTCTCACTATGTAGACCAAGCTGGCCTCAGTCTCAAAGAAATCTGCCTGCTTCTGCCCCCCAAATGCCAAGATTAAAGGTGTGTGCCACCATGCCCAGTGAAATCCAAGTTTCTTGAGTATATTACTTGGGGTAGAGATTATGGTTTAATGAAATGGGGTGAGTGATCTAGGCAGCCTTTTGTAAAAGCAACTTTGAACTTGGATTGAGGTTTGTCACCTTAGACAAGGGTTCCTCATGGGGGAGGCAGTCTGTACTATTAGCCTCACACTGCTATGAAGGTTAAATGCATTAATGGAGGTCAGATACGCCTCAGGACCTGATGCTTAGGAGATAACTTGGTCAGTGCTTCTTCACCCTACTAAGAAACTCACAGAAAAGAAAAAAAAGGACCTAACAGTTTATAGGCTCCAGGGTAGGAAGGAAACAGAGCAGGGAATGAGTGGATAAGGCCTTTTTAGGTTACATCTTTTACTTTGAGGTTTTTAGTGTATCTACATGTGTGTGTGTGTGTGTGTGTATATATCTGTCTGTCTTTGACTAATAAAACCCCAGGCAATTCTTAGGAGAATTTGAAGAATTCTTCTTAGGGGAATTTGAAGAATTATGGAAGATGAGCAGGTGCTCAGGATATATATATATGTATGTATTACTTCTCTCTCTCACACACAAAGCAAGTTTACAAACGATTATGTCCAATGAAATGAGCCAAACTATAATCTTTACTGAAGCGTGTGGTGTCTCTCAAGTATCCTAAGCCATCAGCTGGCCCATGTTCCTGCTTGTCTTTGTGAGGGAGAAAGGGAAGAAAGAGCTCTTTGTGTTTTTGGGAGTAGGCAGCTGAGGATAGCAGATCAGGTTCACACTTACATAAAGAGAAGGCAGGTGACCCACTGCCTGATAGTGTTTCAGCCAGGCTGTGTCTGTTAGGGCTGTAGCCAGGTCAGTTTCTGGCCATTGAGAAGAAAACTCAGAAATAAGCAAAAAGGATAAGAGAAGCCCTGAGGAGTCCCCTGTGGATGGCCTTCAGGTCACTCTGCTACTCCAGGACCATTGTGCAGGTGGAGATGTTATCAGAGTGCTTTCTGGAATACTTGACTCCCTGACTAGGGTGGTCTAGGGCAGGTTAGGAGCGTGTCCTGGGGGGACTGAGTATGATTATGGGCTGTGGTTAGATAGTGTCACTGTGTTGCTTTGACTCCTAAATATATTTGGGACCCCACAGACAGTCACAGAGGACTCTCTATAGCAGATACCATTTTTCACTTTACATTTATAACTTGGTTTTGGGAATCCTTATCCTTGCACTAGACACTAGAAGATGGAAAAGAAATGCAAAGTATGTTTTTTGTCTGAAAAGCTGGGCTTGGTGTTGCAAACCTGTCATTCTAACACACAGAACACGAAAGCAGAGGGATTGGGAGTTCAGGGATAGCCTTGGCTATGCTGTGAATGTCTAATCCCCCCTCCCCGACTCCAAGAAGCTGCTAAACCTCAGTAGGAAAGAAAAAGCACAGGCAGCAGAAAATGACAACAAAACACAAATGGATTATAAACACCTTCAAGGTGAGCCTAGCACTGCCAGAAAACAAAAACCAGATGATAGGACTAGCTGTTAGACTATAAAGCCTGGTGACAAATGTTCTCAGTTTTGAGAGGGATGAGTCACTGTAAAGGGAAGAATTTGGGGAGCGCTGTGAAGGTGGCACTTCACCCAGGCCTTGTATATGGGTATGTGTGGGAGGAGTGACTGGAAGGTTGCGGGTAGGGGAGGTTCAGCATATTGACTCTCAAAAGTTGTCCTTGACAATGTGGAATAGTAAGATTTCAGGAATCCAGGAGAGTGCCTTGGCATCGCTCTGAGGATTTCAGTAAAAATGCTCTGAAGTATTCATTTTAATTTTTAAGATGAATAGGCGGACTTTCATCCTTACAAAATAAGCCAAGAGTTCTAAAGCCTCATTATTTATATCTCTTATGGCTGTATACATTATTTAATCTTTTAGTTTGCAAATGGCTTCTTTACCTCTTTAAATATTTGCAGCAACTGGCATGTGGTTCCACGAGGAACAACAGTAATTGGCATGTGGTTCCACGAGGAACGATCCTCTGTCATCATGAGAAATGAGTCCAGAAAGGTTAGGATTTCCCTTGGCTAATGAAAAGTTCTGGCCTCTGGAATTTCCTCGCAAATGCCAATTTTTAGCGCTTTTGTGAAATGGGTGGAGGTTGAGGGATGGGAAATAGGATTGAAAGATCTTTGTAACAAATCTTGAGAACTGCTACTCCAGTGTGATGAAGGGCTTTACAGTTTACTTTGTGGGTGTATGTTTACTTTTGTAAAGGATTTATTTTCAGTTATGTTTTGCATTGTAATAGGGAGG